ATGTGGGTACCTGTGGAGGCCAGAGGAATGTGTGGGTTCCCCTGTGAACCTCTCGATCTCTCGATGTGGGTTCTGGGGCCAAACTCCAACCCTCATGATTGAGCAGCAAGTGCTCTTAACCACAGGACCGTCTCTCTGGCTCTGAATTGTGTCTTTCTTAGGCACCTGTGAGTGTCCACCTTCCCACTTACAGGAAACCCACGATAGCGTCTCTGGCATGTGTGAATGGACAGCAGCATCGCCGAGCTCAGTTTGGGATGTTCTTATCACAAGTCTGGGGACACCACAGCAGTAGACCTGAACCATGCAAGAAAGCACGCAGCAGACTGGAGAGGTGGGAGGTGCAAAAGAGTCTACCAAGAACCAGCAAGCAGAAATCAAGTGCCACCCAGATAAGGGATCGGGCTGCCGGGAAGGCAGATAAGCTTTTTCACAGTAGCTCGCTGATACCCCATCTCTTTTTTGAGGACTAAGTTTTGAAATGTGAGTTGTTTCTCCTTGGGACTGGTTATGGGGAGGATGTGACAACTCACTCAGTCTGCTCATTGACATGTGGAACCCTGCGGCATGACCACAGCACGCTAAGGTCGCGGCTGGGGCTTGTTCTGGTTAGTGTTTAGATGAGATAACTGTGCTGCTCAGAGGCAACACCAGCCTCCGTCTGCACGCAGCCTGTCCCGAGACAGTGGCAGCCTTGTTCTGACGCTGTAATCACTTAGCACAGCGGTCCCCGAGAACGGCATCCGCAGCCATGGCAGCTACAGAGCAGCTAGCTGGTGGATGGCATACACAGTGGGGATGCCCTGGACTGATGCAGCTGCAGACCAGGTATCCGTTTGGTACCTCGACTCCAGCACAGACTAAGCAGTATCCACCTGGCCCTCTGCACTGGCCCCACGGAGATTGAGTTCTAGAGAACCTATACAAAATCGGAGCATGTGCCCTGCGCTGTGCTGTGAAGTGGTCAAGTCCTTTGCTGTGTCTTCTGTCAGTAACCAAGGCAGGCTCAGGCGTCAGTTTGCAAGCAGGGACAAAGTGTGTTAGACTCTACCCCATGAGGTAGAGTCCTTGTCGCTAGTCCTAGTGAGCCCCCTCTGTAACCTGGTGACATAAAATTGATCGCAACAAACATATCTAGTCTCAGCTTTGCAGTTTAATGAGTGCTGACAAATTTTTACAGTTTTAC